CCCTGGCACTTAGCAGCCTCCCTCCTTGGAGCACCCCTTTGCACCCGTCTGAGATGACCACCAGCCAAACCCTGCCGTGTGAGGAGACTGGCGTTTGGGGCTGACCCTCTCACCTGTCCTCCCTTTTAGCAGCCACGGTTCCTGCCCATCTCTCGTGATAAACATCTCCGGTTGGGGGGAGTGCGCCCAGTCTGACGGCCCCACGGGCTGCCAGACCCACAGCTGAACCCCGGGACCAAGCTGTGACTTCACCCACTGCCCAGCACCTCAGGTTGGCCGAGGGCCAACCCACGGGTGGGCATCGCTGTGGGTGACCCTCCGGGCTGCCCTGCCGCCATGGTCCTGCTGCGAGCTCCGACTCCTGAGGTCTCCAGCCGCTCCGGAGAGCATCCCAGCCCCAGAATGCCCCGGCACCCTGCCTGCTGCCCCACGGGGCCGTGCTCCCTGCCCTTCCTGAACCAAACCTTGCCATGAAGGAGGCAGAATCTGCTGGCTGGTGACCAGCGCTGCTTCGTCCCTGGTGCTGCTGGGTTCTGCCCAGCCTGCTGCCAGCACTGGGTCCCACAAAGCCAGTCCTGGCTGCTGCACGTTGGCAGGATCAAGTAGGGTGATCAGCATAACCTTCTGCCCCCGCCCCAATTCACAAGGTCCTTGGCCAGGGAGGAGTTCTTTCTCGTCTCTTCTTTCTTGTGGCCATCCAGAGGTGCTTGCAGCTGCATCAGCGTTTCCTGTGCACTTCTGCTGAGGATCCTGGAGCTTCCTCAGGACTTACTGTTGGCTCCTTGTGTTACAAAACCTTTATGGACCTTCTGGGAGGGATAAGGAAGGGTGCCACTTTGCTGCTCCTTGCACCTAAACTTTGGGAAAGGTGGGGAGATGGACTTCTGGCTCTCACCACGGGTATCAAGAGCTTATAATTCCATTATCCCTCACTGTGACTGCTGCCTCTGAAATGCAGCGCTGAAAGCACCCTAGGTGCACAGAACCAGGACCTGCTGCGACCCGTGCAACTTCCCCGGACGGGAATCGCTGCCGTGCTCCTGAACGCAAAATGGCTGGCTCCACCGGCTTCCTGCCAGCTGACTCACAGCGGGGCACCCATGGCTCTGGAAATCCGGTTTGGTTTGGATGCTCCTCTGCCTCGGTTGTGCCTGATGACGCATCCAAGTCCTTGGCAACAGCAGGGCTGAGGCAGTGAATATTTTGGTTCTTGTCGAGAAGGCTGCAGCCTCTGGCATGCCTTACCTGGAGGGAGCGAGGCTGCAGAGCCCACCTCAGCCTCGCGTCCCCTGAGGGACATGAGGCTGCCCTTGAAGCCCTGAGCTAGGGGACCTTCCCGCCTCAGCCCTTCAGTTCCGTTAAGAAGTGCAGCTAACGCTTCCTCCTCCTCCAGAGCTAATTTAGGGAAGCTGAGCCTCGGAGCATGGCAACCGTTCGCTGTTGCAAGTCCCTCCCCTTGACGGGCACCCATCCTCAGTGCCCTCACCTCCTCAGCTCCCAGTGCCTGGGTGATGCTCTGACATCTCAGCCTGCATCCCTGTTGTTGGAATAGCAACGGGGGATGTGGCAGCTGCCGCAGAGCTCCAGCCCTTAAACCAAGTGGGTGTTCAGGCAATGGAGAAGGTGCTCACTGAGTGCTTCCAGGGCTGTGGGTGGGGACAATGCAGGGAATGTGCTGGCCTGGTGTCTCTGGCTCCAGCAGATGGCTCTCCATCTCGCTGGGCCCCTGAGGTGGGCAGTGCAGTGATGGGAGGCAGAGCACTGGATTTGGGAGAGGGCAGCCAGCTGGGATGGACACAAGGCACCCAGACTATAAGGCAGTGTGGATGGACTGCAGAAGCTGACGAGGGCCTGGGGTGTCCTGCCTGGGCTGTGCACCTCACCACCTGCAGTGATTGCATTTGCTGTCCCAGCTGGGATCTAACCCTGCCTCCCCCTCCCCAGCGTGAGTGCATCTCCGTCCATGTCGGCCAAGCCGGCGTCCAGATGGGCAACACCTGCTGGGAGCTGTACTGCCTGGAGCACGGCATCCAGCCCGATGGGCAGATGCCCAGCGACAAAACCATCGGTGGAGGGGACGACTCCTTCACCACCTTCTTCTGCGAGACCGGGGCTGGCAAGCACGTCCCACGGGCCATCTTTGTGGACCTGGAGCCCACAGTGATTGGTGAGTGCACCTTAGTTGTGCTGTGATGGCAGTCTCTGTCTCTGGGAACAACCAACTGCGGGACAGTCCCTAGGGTGGCTCCTGCCACTTTTCCCCATGGCTAGGTAGAAAATCTGTGACATTGTGCTAATATCTCCTAGATGAGGTTCGGGGAGGAGTCTACCGACAGCTCTTCCACCCTGAACAGATGATCACCGGCAAGGAGGATGCTGCCAACAATTATGCCCGTGGACACTACACCATCGGCAAAGAGATCATCGACCAAGTGCTGGACAGGATCCGGAAGCTGGTAAGTGACCACACAGGGGGCACGTGTCCCCCTGTGCTGGGATCCAGCACCCTGATGGGGGTGGGAACATGGGATGAGCCCTGCAGTGCCCTGGGAGGCACCTGTGGCTGCCCAAGCAAAACTCTGAAACTTCCCTCCAGCAAAGTCAGTGCTTGGAGAAATCTCACTTGTTCCTCTCCACAGGCTGACCAGTGCACAGGACTCCAGGGCTTCCTCGTGTTTCACAGCTTTGGAGGAGGAACTGGGTCTGGCTTCACCTCCCTGTTGATGGAACGACTCTCCGTTGACTACGGCAAGAAGTCCAAGCTGGAGTTCTCCATCTACCCCGCGCCACAGGTCTCCACTGCTGTGGTGGAGCCCTACAACTCCATCCTCACCACACACAGCACCTTGGAGCATTCGGACTGTGCTTTTATGGTGGACAATGAGGCCATCTATGACATCTGCCGCAGGAACCTGGATATTGAGCGCCCGACCTACACCAATTTGAACAGACTCATCAGCCAGGTTGTCTCATCCATCACAGCATCATTGAGGTTTGACGGGGCCTTGAACGTCGACCTGACCGAGTTCCAGACCAACCTGGTGCCCTACCCTCGCATCCACTTCCCCCTGGCCACCTACGCTCCTGTGGTTTCGGCTGAGAGAGCTTATCATGAGCAGCTGTCAGTGGCTGAGATCACCAACTCCTGCTTTGAGCCGGCCAACCAGATGGTGAAGTGTGACCCTCGCCATGGCAAGTACATGGCCTGTTGCCTGCTGTACCGCGGGGACGTGGTGCCCAAGGATGTCAACGCCGCCATTGCCACCATCAAGACCAAGCGCAGCATCCAGTTTGTGGACTGGTGCCCCACGGGCTTCAAGGTGGGCATCAACTACCAGCCACCCACGGTGGTGCCGGGGGGAGACCTGGCCAAGGTGCAGCGCGCCGTCTGCATGCTGAGCAACACCACGGCCATCGCCGAGGCCTGGGCTCGCCTGGACCACAAGTTTGACCTGATGTACGCCAAGCGAGCCTTCGTGCACTGGTACGTGGGCGAGGGCATGGAGGAAGGGGAGTTCTCCGAGGCACGGGAAGACATGGCTGCTCTGGAGAAGGATTACGAGGAGGTGGGCCTGGACTCCTACGAGGATGAAGAGGAAGGCGAGGAGTAGAGAAGCCCCTGTCAAAAAAGACCATGCTCCTTCCCCGTGTTACCCGCAGAAACCCTTTGCAATAAACCATTTCAGAGCCTCCGTGTCTCCCACTAACCCCCCCCAGCTGTATTGGTTTCTAGCCAGGTCAGGTGTGTGGTGAGTGCTTCAGCTCTGCTGCTGGTGCTGCTATGCTTCATCCCAGCACATGTGGACATGGGGTCCACCATCTGGGAGCACCTCTGCCCACTCCCTGCATGTCCCTCCTGGTGCTCTGCCATCCCTCTGGGGCACATGGCCCCACACTGCCTGCCCCAGCTCACATTCTCCGTCGGCTGCGTTCTGAGCCCTCTCCCTGCCCTGCTCAGCAGTCAGGAGTCCAAACATCAGCTCTTGGCTCCAGCTGCAAGCGGGAGATTTCTGTTACCCATTATCCAGCACGCCGGGTCCAGAGATTAATTTTCCCTGCTTAACACTAATGCTCCAGCTATATTGACCCACGGGGGCTGTCCTCCCCTGCCCTCCTCCTCCCGGCATGCACCCCTGTCAGCTGGAGGGGAAAGTGTGAGCCAGAACTGGGCTGCACCGATTGCTGGAGCGCGGCCAGGCGCTGGTCCCACTGCGCAGGGCACCTGGCGTGGCTCCCCGTGCCCGTGACCAGAGCCCTGCGCTCAGATTGAGCGGTGCCTGCTGCTACGCCAGGGCAGGAGTCGCTGCCCCTCACGCTGGGCACACTGCTCTGGTCCCGCCGCAGAGATGCTTTCACCCCGTGCCTTTCAGAGAGACCCGACTCTGCTGCCAGAAGCGTGTAGGAGTTGGAACTCCGTGCTGTGCCTTTTTTTCTTAAATATTATAGTGCATCTCTGATCGGGACCCCGCTGCAGAGGCACACAGCAGATTCTCCTGGCGTGATCCTGGGTAACAAAGCCCCTATCCCCATGGGCAGGGACAGCTGTGCAAGCCCATGCCCTGGCGGCAAGGACAGAGCCCTCTCCCTGCTACACGAAGCCTGCAGAGCTGGGGTGCTGGGCTCTGTTTTTCCCTTAGCCAGCAGCCAGGCTGGTGGCCCACGTGTCCGCGGTAGCCGCACCAGCCCTTCA